AAAACACACACGTATAAATCTAAAGCTGGAAGCCTAGCAAGCGCATGCAATATTCAGTATTAGTAAATTCGTTTTTTTTTTTTTAGTATCAATATATTTGACAGTTATAATATTAGTATCGTTGAAATATAATGGTGGATATATTATTTTTTTATTGTTGATACGACTATTATTCACGAAATCGGAGCACATTGAGCAGTATAGGAATGATAATTTTAATGGATGATGCAAAAAATGAGCAGAGTATGCACAGTAATAACAATAAAATTAAAATAATATGCATGTGAGTGAAAAAAAATGGTTGAGGATTAGAGAGGAAAAATAACGTTATGATTTAGTTGAAAAAAAAAAAGAACGCAATGAATGTGAAATGTAGGTATTTTAGCAATTTCACGAAAAATCGTGTGATACATGAAAAAATTTTAAATAAACGTTTTTTTTTACGCCTTCGAAGCTAGTTTTATTTGACTCATAATGTTGGTTAGAGAAACTGTAGTTTCCTTCAAAAATTTGCTACAGATTTTTTGGACTGTTTAGAAATTTCTGAAACAAATTTTTGAAAAAATTACTTTATTCATCTATGGTTAAAATAACTCAACCAGAGTCGATCTGATAAAATTTAATAAATGAACTTGAAGTACGTGAATATCAATTTTTCTAAAAATGTATCCTTGAAATTTCAAAACAGTCCAATAGAAGAGACATATTTTTAAGAGTTTCCACAAGCTTTTTCACTCATGACGTATAATACTATAAATAAAATAACAATAGTTCCGAAGGCGCACAAAAAAATTGTATAAAAATGTTGTTTATGACTCACAGATGAGTACTTCTCGTAAAATTGTTGATTTATGTCATCATTGTTTTCTTTTTCGCTCTTTATGTTTTTCGTTGTTCGATAGACGATAGTTTTGCATTTACTTGTCAGAGATAAAATTTACGATGCTGAGAGAATATATTATATTAAAACCCAATTTGCAAGACATTTACCTTCTTTGCTCATGTCGCTCTGTTTCTCTTGTTTATCGTGTTTATCTTGTACCTCTACTCTTTCGTGTTTTTTGTGTTCATCTCGCACCTCCTGCACCTCTCCTTCCTCGAAACCATTTTGTTTTCCTGTCTCATCGGGTATCTCTCGCACCTCATAGTTTTCGCGCTTCTCCCGCCTATCCGACATTTCTTCGATTTCTCGTTTCTCATATTTATTCCGTTTTCCTAGCTCATCCAACCCATCATGCACGATTTGTCTTTTACACCCATCTTGCACCTCTTGCACGGTTTGCTCCCCGTATCCATTTTCCTTTCCTGCTTTATCGGGTATCGACATCCCTTGCATATTTTGTTTCTCACATTTACTACTCTGTCTGCCCAACTTATCGGCTCCACCAAGCAGCTCTTGTCGTTTCTCTCCCATCTCTTCTTCTTCTTCTTCTTCTTCTTTGTACCCATTTTGCATTACTCCTTTCCCGTCTTCCCGTCGCATCCCTCGCATCGAATGTTCAATTTGCACTTCTTCCTGGTAATATTCACCCCGCGACCCTCGCTCGCCGCGAACATCCTCCACCTCTGGTTTTCCTGCGAACCCGTTATCCTGCGTCTCCCGCTCTTCGTAACTTGTGCGCCTGTCGGCCTGCTTGCTCTGCTTCCCTTGCTTGTCCAGGATCTCGTCCAGCACGGACCTCTGCCTCTGAATGCGCTCAAACAGCTTCCTCATGTCCTCGTCCTCCTCCTCCTCCTCGTTGGCAGCCGCGCTGCTTCTCCTCGTGCCATTTTCCATATCGCCCCTCGCCACAGAGTCCAGCCTCTGGCTCTTTCGGCGCTCGGCGTTGCTCGAGTGCTCCTCCGCTATTGCCTCGGAGTGGCGACCGTAGCCGAGTTCCTGCCGGTGTGGGTCGGAGTCCGGACTTTGGGCGTCCTTGGCGGAGCTCGCCGCGTCGTCGTCCGATATCGAGACGATGGAGACGCCCCGAGCGGGGAGTCGGGGGTCCGCGTAGCCCAGCCGGGTCCGGCCGGCGTCCTCGGTCTCGGAGAATTCCTCGACGAGGGCGCCGTTCTGCCGGTAAGAGGTGCTCTCGTCCTCCTGGATCGTGTAGCTGTAGGAGGCGATTTCCTCGACTTGGGGTCCGCTGTCGCACCTGTTGACGTGCTGCAGCTCCACCTTGGTCGCGCTCATCTTGCTGATGGTGTGCCGCTCGTCCGGACCTGCGAAGGCTCGCCTCAACGTGTCACCGCTCCTCAACCACTCATCCTCTCTCTCTCTCTCGTTTTTAATTAAATCATAATCGAGCAATCAAACAAATACTTTGTTCGGGCTAATCGGCAACCTTTTTTTTTTCTTTTTTTTTTTTTTGAT